TTATATATTATATATATAATATATATATATATTGCTGCTTTACCCACAGTAAGCATCGTTGGAGGTCTGACTGCTGTGGGAATAACAAAGAGAAAAAGGCAGAACACGAGCAGTCTTCTCTGTCACATGTCTGGTTCTCTGCGCTTGTCACCACCTGAATTCCACCTCCTCATCCCAGGAATTTCCTGACACAGTACCTAGAAAGGATCAGCAACTCCAGACTATGACTTAAGGGAATATCAAGAAGGAAAGAAAAATAAAAAGAAAAGGTCCTTCTTAACTTCAGGAAATGTAATGCCTTCATCTCAGAAGGGAGGGATTAGAATTTGCTATAGAAATTATAGAAGCTTCTCACCCATGAGAATTTGAGGAGCCAGCCTTTTATTTTTAATGGTACATGGAAACAAAGAGGAAAATGGTTGTGGGTGCTTAACAAATATTTGTTGAACAGGTGAACCAATATATAAATATAATCCCAATTTTGTGTTTGCTGTTCTCTTCAGAAGTCTTCCTACAAGGAACTAGTTCATGATCAAATAAAACTAAATATCATGTGGACATTTGGCTTCTTTTAAACAGCTCATTTCCTTGTTGCCAAAAACAGCAATGCAATTCCTACCAGGGATAAGAGGAAAACAGTCACATACCTCCACCTGGAGGTGGGCCAAGACTGCCAAGTGCTATGCCTCCTCTCACATTCAAATTCAATTACCTCATGCAACTACATTAATGTTGAGTTGGTGGCAGCCTATCATTTAAATAGCAACTAGAATCCTGCAACAGGAGATTCACAATTCTACAGCTCTGTCATGAAAGTAGTAATTTTGTAAGCACAAGACCCTCAATTATCCCCTACATTAGATACTCACTGTAAGACCCAGGTCTCCTTTTGGTCCTTGTAAACCCTACTTAGTAGAAGAAGAGTAAAAATTAATGTAGGTTAGAACCATTTAAAGTATAAAAATTATAGTAGTAAGACCTGAAAAATCTTTTCTTGCCTGTTTTCCTGGGGATCCAGGCTCTCCAGTTTCCCCCTTTTCACCTTTCTTTCCCACATCACCTCGTTCTCCATGCTCTCCCTTTATAATGTAGTAAAAAGAAAAGTTAAAAATGTGAATATTAAAGCCAAGTAAGAACACTGTATAATTTGATTTATTTATACCTCATATCTGTTGAAGACATGGGGCTCTTATTGATACAAATACATAAAATGAAAACAAAAACACTTTGAGGGCAGTTTATTCGCACTCTTTTGGGTACCACAATCTAATTTATGATGAATCAGAACCTCAAAGCAAAGAGATCTTGAGACACCATCTGTTTAGCCCACTGCCTTTGAGAAATTCAGCTACTGTATAATTTACCAGATTCCTGAATCATATGATATTTCCTATATGTATGTTATAAGGATTTATTCTACTACTAGCTGGTCTTTAAAAGGAAATTTTATAAAATGACTAAGTTTACAGATAGAAAGGCAACATTTAGGATTTAATTTCACATGGATTTCTGAGAGTCATAAGAAGCACGACACACATAGAGATCTTTTTCAAAGCCAAGGTTAAGCTCAGAAGATCTCAAGCCCAAGCATTTCTCTGAAATCTGGAAACACTTACCTTATGGCCTGGAAGTCCATAGCCCATATTGCCTTTTGGCCCTGGAAAACCTTGAGGTCCTTGTTCTCCCTAGATATACAAAAATGAGTTTTCCCATTAATTTCCCAGGAGGACTCATAATATTTTGGAGGTTAGAAATACAGAGCTTCAAAGCTGCATTATAGCATCATCCAAATTTTATAAGAGGATACAAATGTAGACATATAGATCTAAATATAGAAATAGAAATGCATACATATAGATAAATAAATGTGCTCAATGGTTGCCTAGTAAATATTGAATAGCTAAATCTGGGATAAAAGTAAGAGCCCTGAGTTATAATCTTTGCCTATTCTATGGTGCAAATTCCTACCTCAGCTGATTTCAAGCTATGAACATAGCTTGTGAATTCCTTGCGATTCACACACACACACACACACACACACACACACACAAAGCTGGAATTTCAGTTGTGGTATTAAGGGTAGATTTTCATCTTTGCATTTTTGTATTTATTTCTATGTTTAAAGTATATATTAGTAGTGGAGAAAAAGAAGATACAACATAGTACTACCCTTATACCCATTAATACTAAGGAATGTATTTATTAGTTCCATTTATAATAATTTATAAAAACATGTAGGACTTGTTTTGAACTTTCTATACCACATCTTAACATTCTCTTTTGCCTTACCTAAATCACACCGAACAAAAGAGCTTAATGATATTGCACATGAAATAGAAATAATAGACCCTCTGTTCGGCTCACCCCTTTGGCCCAGAACAGCAGAGGATCTCAGCCACGTGGGTACCAACACAGCAGTGTCCATGCTCCTGACCCCCCAAGAACAAGAGAAAGAGGGCCTTTCTGAGGCTTCTAGATGAAAATTGAAGCCCACTGGAAAAGTGAAGAAAATCTCTATGATAAAGGCACACCACACCACCATAGTTGGTAAGTCAGTCAGAGGGACCAGCACCTCACATTGGAACCTGGTCTAACTTCAGGGGAAAGGCAGCTGGAAACTGCAGTAGAACCTTTCAGAGTTCAACCCAAAAGGAGGTCAGAGATCTCAACTTGGGCAGTGCAGAAAGAAATCAGTCTGAACGTCAGGGGACAGCTTCTGGCTTACTGAGACTAATTAGCTTAGATCTGTACACTCCTTCCCACACTGTCTATTATGTCAACAGAGACATACCCTGAAAGAGGGCCTTTATTTCTATTTGTATTTTCTATTTTCAAAGAAATATTTTTATCTTATTTTTAATTGCTTAAGAAATCTTAATGTATCTTTTTCTTTTCTCAAATATTTTTACTGTTTTTAATCTTCTTTTTCTTATCTCTCTCCCTCTCTCTCTCTCTCTCTCTCTCTCTCCCCTACCTTGATCTTCATTTCTCTCCCTTTTTGTTCCTGTTCCTATCCTAATTCAAATTTCTTTTCTTTCTTCTCCTTTTCATCTCTTTTTCCTTCTCTAAATTGCCATTAGTTTTAAAAGAAAGTGATTACAGTTGCTAGCCTCCCTATAGCTGTTTGTTCTGTTCTGTGTATGTTTTGTTTAGTCTTTTCCTCTGCTCTTCAATAGCTTCCTAGAGTTTGTGTGATCTTTTTGTGTCCTATGACCTCACTTCTAACCTCTGTCTATCCTATCTGTATAACCCTCCATCCCCAACTCCTTCTAAGTCCCTATCCTGAAGGGTAAAGTTGCTATATTGAAGATTTTATTCACTATAAACATATTTTTGGCTGGTCCTTGATTTTGATTTAATTAACACAGTTAAAGGCAATAGATCAATAACTACCACAAACTGTCAGTTTCTAAGCTGTGCTTGATGCTATTGTGTAGCTGATTGTATCACGTGGGCATGTTTTGATTGATCCAATCAGTTGTCCTCCCTAGTATAATGAAAATGAGATTGCCTCAGAGTCATGAGAGACTCAAAACCTAAAGACCAGCTATATGTGAAAGATCAATGTATTAATCCAGGAATCAATAAGAGTAGTACCAACAACAAGAATAGAAATGAGAAGATATTTAAATAAGGCAAAGACTTCCACCTCACCAAAGGTAAACTCTGGGGGAAATGGGGTGGAAAAATCTGACAGTCAACCATCTGGACACCCTGAACCAATACCACAGGAAGTAACAAAATAGATGAATGAGACTCTAGAAAAATTCAAAACAGAAATAATTTCCCAGATAAATACAAACATGGTGAGCAGAATGAAAGACATGATTAGAGACTCTAGAACAGAAATAGATTTAAAAAAAAAAATACATGAGCTTAGGACCATGATGGAAACCATGAATGTCCAGCATAGGAAAGAAATAGACACCATGAATGCCCAACATAGGAAAGAAATGGAATCCATGAAATGGATTCAAACAGCTATCCAGGAGATTAAAAACTCCATAGAAAACATTTACAGCAGAATGAACAAATGTGAAGATAGAATTTCATATATAGAAGATAGGATTGCAGTCAGTGACCATGAAAAGAGAGATCTCTTAAAAACAGTAAGGGATCAATGAAAAATTGATCCAACAACTCCTAGATGATGCAAAGAATAACATAAGACTGACAGGAGTCTATGAAGTAGCAGGAAAAAGTACAAATGACTTTAAAAAACTGTTCACAGAATTACTGACAGAAAACTTCCCAAACAGAGGGGTAAAACTTGACATACAAATTAAGAAAGGCATATAGGAGTCCAAGTAACCATGATTAAAAAAAAAGCTATACCTAGACATATAATAGTCAAGATCCCAGAAACCCAACAGAAGAACAAAATATCACAAGCAGTTAGAGAAAAGAAACAAATCGCATGCAAAGTAAAGCCCATCAGAATCACAGCAGACTTTTTAACACAAACCCTCAAGTCAAGGAGAGCCTAGGGTGAGATATTTCAAGTCCTAAAATAAAACAACCCCCAACCTAGACTGATGTATCTTGTAAAACTATCATTCAAAATTGGTGGGGAAATAAGATATTTCTATGACAAAGAACACCTGAAAAACTTCATGAATACCAAACCAGCACTCCAAACAATTGTATATAATATCCTAAAGAAAGACAATGAAGGTCACAACTCTATGAGGCCCAACAGAGCAAATCTATCTGGCAAAGTAAGAAATTAAAGGGGGGGATAAAAAACAATAAGAAAACAACATGACAATGATTAAATCAATGCATATCAGTTAAAACCATCATTGTTAATGGCCTCAATTCACCAATCAAAAGAAATAAGCTGGCAGAATGGAATAAGAAAAAATAATCCAACAATATGCTGTGTACAAGAAATCCACTTAATCCACAAAGAAATTCATAGAGTGAGAGTAAAAGGATGGAAAACAGTTCTCCATGTGACAGAAGCCCAGAAAAAAAAGTGAGGGTAGCTATATTATTTTCATACAGAGATTTCAAACCAAAACTAACTAAGAGAAACAAAAAAGGATGCTACTTCCTTGTAAAGGGAACAATACAAGAGGAAGAGATGACAATCATAAATATATATGTACCAAATACTACTGCCCCCAACTATACAAAACAAATATTATTGGACATGAAAAACAAAATAAACACTAATACAATTGTAGTGGGGGACATCAATACTCTACTAACACAAATAGACAGATCACCTAGACAAAAAATCAACAATGAAATAACAGAACTGAACCAAGTCTTAGAACAAATGGACTTAGTAGATGTCTACAGAGTGTTCCACCCCAGCAGTAGGGGAAGTGGGAGGGGTGGGAGAAAGATAAGAAGGGAAGAGAAAAAATATGAGAAAAAGAAAAACATGGAAACAAAGTTTTTGTAAACAGGGAAAGGTGGAGGAGGCGAAAGGGAGGGGGCAAGGAATGGGGAAAAAATAAGAGCCAAGATATGCCATGTAAAGTACAAGATCCCAATGATGAATGCAATTGTATCATATACCTAAAATGTACCAATAAACTTAATGAAAAAAAATTCATGCTTAGCTTTGTCCCAACCCCAAAGGGCAAACAGAAACACCAAAAGACTGTATTATAATCATAAATTATCACTATGAAGTGTATATTTAGACAAAAGAGGTCCAGGAGGAATTCTACACTTTTATAACAGTTATTCAGAATAATTATTTCTTTACAACATTTTAGATCTCTACAGCAGCTAATACAAAATTTGTTCAATAAAGGTTTATGACTATCTGCCTTTAAGAAGTTACACAATTTCCTAACAGTGTTGAAAGCAATTGTGGCTGCCTCACCACGTCCAGAGGGAAAACTCTGAGAGGAACTAATTACAACATTGAGATCAGTTCAGGAATTTATTTTGTGTAACTTTGCACTATAAACTTTTTTTGTATAATTATCAATAGTAGATATATCATGCAAGTGAGTGTCCTATAGTTAAGGTATTATTTCTTTTTAATTATTAATTTCCCTTCAAAATACTTGAAAAATCTTCCTATAACTTTCAGAGAAGACTATCTAGCTAAAATCCTTTAGCAAGCAAGGCCGTGCCTTAGCTTTACAGAGATGAATACCAACCAATCAGATTTATTTCTTTATAAAACTCAGGAAAATGGTGAACAGTGACTTTAGTATGGGTCATAAGCAACTACAGGAAAGGATCTGCCTATTGGAAGATATAATTAAATCCAAATGTTAAACCTTGCATTTTAATTACTGTATCACTGTATGTTACTCTTAAACCGGTCCTGATAAAAATGTGATCATTATCAGATGATTGCTTGTTCTTTGAGAAAGAAACTATTTGAATATTTTAACAAATTATTTCCTATTACATTACTGATATATCAAGAAATAATAGTTTTTCTTTCTAAATATTTTCTTCATGAAGTACACTAAGAAAAAAATTCAAACACATAGAGATGACAAAAAAAATGTAAAACAGTTACCTAAACTCTTCTCATAGTGTAGAAAAGTAAACAATAAATGTTCTCATTCTTAAAACAACAGAATGCTCACTTATCCACAAAGTCACAATTTTTCTTGGGTCTCTCCTAGAGATGCGCACTATTATTGCAGGGCCACTGGCAAACCCAGGATCTAAAGAAATATGGGAACTTCCAGAGAAAGAGACAGCC